GCCAGGCTCTGGGGGCCCCAGACAGAGCCCATGGGGCCAGCCGGAGCCCAGGCCCACCCCAGCCCTGTCCCCAGTAACTCCGGCGGCAGGACGTGCCCGCCACGGGGAGTGAGGGAGACCCGTGGTGCTTCGTGCTCCGGGGCCCTGGTCGGGCACCCTGGCTGGTTGGTTCGTTTTCACGGGTGAAGAGTCTGAGGCTCAGGGAGCGGAGTGGGAGCCCCCAGACACAGCCACCCCCACGGCAGGGGACCCCCTGCCCCCCAGGGCTCACATGGAGGGCCGATGTGTTGGGGCGGCCTTAGGGTTGTCAGACGTGTGGTGTCTCAGGGACTGCTGCCCCTTTGGGTGGAGACAGACGAGGGGGCACTTTGCGTGAACTCTCTAACCTCGCCCTGGGCGGTGTGCTCAGTGGTTAGAGCATCAGCCCGAGGACCGGAGCGTCACGGGTTCGATTCCGGGTCACGGGTGCGATTCCCGGTCACGGGCACGTTCCCTGGGCTGCCGGTTCGATCCACGGCCCCGTCGATGTGTGTGTCTCCCTCTCCCCCTCCTCCGAGACCCTTCTGCTTTCTCTATAAATCAACGGGAAAACCACTAGCATATCCTCGGGTGAGGATCGCCCGTGGGACCCTGGGGGCGGTGCTCCAAGTGTGTGAACAGCCACCTGTACGTGTGTGTTGTGTGGGCGGAGGCAGACACCGGCCCACACAGCTCCTGCTTTGCTGGTGAGGAAATTGAGGCCCCGGGCCGCCCGGCGAGCGGGGGCAGACCCGAGCGCCGAGACCCAGGCCAGGGTGGCGCGCGGGGTGTTCTGTGGACGGGGGACTGAGAGCTGTGACATTCCCAGGGTGCAAATGGGGGGCGACGTGGAGCCCACGGGTGCTAAAGGGGTGCCCGGGCCAGTTCATCTGAGCCTGGGTGGAGGGGTGGGGTTCCCGTCCCTGTGGCAGGGACCCGTCGCGGGGGGCGCCCACCTGGCACGGCTGTCACAGGTCCCTGGAGGGG